GCCGCCCCTCTCAGCTGTGAGCATCTTAAACAACCAGAGGTGGGAATGGGAATGAGCCCCTGGGTCACGGTGGCCCAGGCCCTCCGAAGAGCAGGTTCCTGTGCACTCAGCAGCATGCACACTCTCCCCTGTGACTGTGGGCCGCTTGTCTCCGCTTGGAGGCCCCGGGGGAGGCCGTGGTAATCATAGCCGAGTGCCCAGAGCCTATTAGAGAGGAGTTAAGTCTTTCTTTTATCTTTCTTACTAAAGTGATCACTCAATAAACTCATGTGGAATTGTGGGGGGGATTCTCATCTTTCATGCAGGAGAATTAGACTCAGTGATTCGCCAGTGTACCTCCTGTGCTGCTGTCAGTCAGTGGCGGCGTGTGCGTTGCTGGGATGTGGAATAGCCTTCAGCAAAGCTGGGCAAGGAAGAAAGGCCTGGTGATCTCTTTCTGAAAACCAGCCAGTATGAGCTCTATGGTTTCCTGCAACCAACCATTGGGAGGGCCCTGGACTGGGGCGCACTTCATTCCATTGTTCATAGGGTCTCCGTGCGGGGCTGATTCGATGATAGTTAATAACTACAAGGGTGCGCGGCTATATACACTGTACATACATGGTTATATATATACAGTACACAGAGATACAGCTATATGTATTATATACAAGGGCAAGAATTGTCAAGTCTGCTTGGGGAGGGCTTGGAAGACTTCAGGTGAGAAAGGAACCAACCCTTCACAGTGAGTGCAGAGCGATGAGCAGAAGGACAAACATTCCAGGCTGCAGATGAACAAGGAGCAGGGCCCATTCCTGGTGGGGAGGGGCATTCGTGAACCAGACAAGACTGTGATCCCCAGTTCACCCTGTCGTGCATCACAGTGGTCATTGATAAAAAAGGATGCAGGCAAGGCAGGGCTGATAGGCAGCCTGACTGGGCTTTGAAATGTACAAATGCAATCCTAATGGAGGACAATATGCTAATGAGCCCATATTAATATTGATAGGAGCTCGTCACTGACGACGCTCAGGGAGAGCAAGAGCCAGGCGTGTGAGGAGGTGTGTCACACACCCCAGCAGGTCATTCTGTCTGGTCCTGATGCTGAGGGAGGGCGGGCCCAGGAAGGACCTCTGACTCCTGTGGTTGCTGGGGGAGGTTGCCTTTCCCCTGGCTGATCTGTGCGTGCTGTCCCTGCCACGTGGTGGAGGGCTGGCCTTGAGGAGAGCTCTCCTGCTCTGCAGAGCCAAGGGGGATCCCGGAGATGGTGAACCTGGGCAAAGGTTTGCTCTGCCTGAGGGTGGCGAGGGCTAAACCTGGATCTCAAACATTTACCCTGCCCTGCTTTGCCCTGCCCTTAACCTGCAGGGCCAAACTGCAGGGGCTTTGGGGTGTCCATGTACAGAGAGTGTCTCCTTGAGTGACGGTGTCTGAAAATGCTTACCCAGCTAAAAGGTGGACAGGGCACAGGAAGCCACCTTGGGAAGTCGGGAGCTGGATGTGGGCAGGACAGGGCAGGCCCCTCTTGTGTGCTTTAGAGAAGGCTAGAAGGTGAGGCTGCTCTTTGCCTTTCTTTCTTTCTCTCTCTCTCTCTCTCTCTCTCTCTCAGGGATGTAATTGCCTCAAGGTCCCACGGACAGGAAGCTGTGGGAACCAGGCCATGTAGCTTCTGGACTCACCGTGGCTCATTTATTCTAAGGGTGGCTCTAAGGAAGAGAAAGATGAAGGTCAGCCTCCAGGAAACCATGCTTGTCAATATTGCATTCACCGACAGGTTCTCAGAGACCCGGGTCAGAGTGTGAAGAATGTTCCAGACAGAGGACCCTGGGCAAGCACCTTCACAACTTTCATTTCCTCGTCTCTGTGGTGGGTTGTCCCAAGGAGTAAACAATGACAGTACATGCAACAACCACAACAGAAAAATCACACCACACTCACTGCCTTCGAGGGAATGCTGACTCACAGCAACCCTTTAGGACAGGGTGCACCTGCCCCTGAGTGTTTCTGAGACTGTCGCTCTCTGTGGGAGTAGAAAACCCTGTCTTTCTCCGGAGGTGTGGCTGGTAGTTTTGAATTGCTGACCTTGCAGATCGCAGCAGGTAATTTGTTACTGTTAGCTGCCATCAAGTCAGCTCCCGATTCATGACGACCCCACTGACAGCTGGTGGCTATGCATGAAGTGCCTTGGCCAGAAACCCAACCTTGTTTTCCCATCTGGAAGGGGAGAATGCTTCCCCTGGGCCCTCCTTGATACAGAGTAAAGCCAATGACTCTTTGTCCTCTACTGGCTTCCAAAGCGTAGTGATCCTGTGGGCAGACTAGCACTGCCCTGGAGGCTTGTACAGAAGTAGACTGCCATATCTTTGGGTTGGCAGCTGGGTGTGCAATAGCTGTGCCAGCTGAGCTCTTTGATATATACTATTCACCGCCATCAAGTGGATTTCAACTCATAGGGACCCTGTAGGACAGAGGAGAACGGGCCTATGGGTTCCTGAGACGGTCAGTCTTTACAGGAGGAGTAGAATGCCTCATCTTTGTTGCTCAGAGCAGCTGGTCATTTTGAACTGCTGACCTTGCAATCACTAGCAGCCCACCACATAACCCGCTATGCCATCAGGGCTCCTTTGATACATAACAGGTTCCCTATCAATGAATTCCTCAACTCTCTTCTATCCAACGTAAAGTTGATTCAGATAAGGCTGTTGTTCTTTGCATGAATATTTGAGAAATCTTCTGTGGTGTCTTATAAAACAAAAGCAAGCTGGCTGCCATTGAATCAATTCTGATTCATAGCAACCCTACAGGGTAGGGTAGAACTGCCCCTGTGGGTTTCCAACATTGTCAGTTTTTACAGGAGTAGCAACCTCTTCTTTCTTCCTCAGAGCAGCTGGCCGTTTTGAACCACTGACCTTGCTGTTAGCCGCCCAACAGAGAGCCCACAGTCCCCCCAGGGCTCCTGTTTGTTATGTCTTATGAAAAATAATTAAGAGCCTGCAGCAATGGTGGCAGGGGAAAATGTCTCAGAATGACCAGAGGAAAGCAAAACAGATTTCAAGCCAACCCAAGAGAACACAAATGTCTTATAGTGACTGTTCTCTCAAAGCAGTCACCACAGGAGGACACGCAGTTGTTCCAAACATGATGCTCACGCTATAAAATCCTATATCCCAGCCCCCAAACACACACTCCTGAGGGTGCTCTAAAACAGGGGCCAGCTTTTCAAATCACTTAGTCATACATACCTTCAATTGACAGAGGACAGCCAACTCTCACTGAAATGTATGCCCAGAGCCCCACAGCTGCTCAGGGCCAGGGTGAACATGACTTGTTACTGCTGAAGGGGGTTCTAACTCATGGGGAGGCCATGTGTTCCAGGGTAGAACCCCCCCCACCGTTTTCTTGGCTTTAAGGACACTGATCTCCAGGTTGAAATTTTCTCTATGGCACCCCTGGGCGGGTTTGAACGGTCAGCCTTTGCATTAGTAACTCAGGACAAATCCATGGAACCTAAAACCAGAACGCAGGCCTTTTGATTTCTGCTCTGTGGCTCTTTCCAAGGCACGGCTTTCTCCATCCTTCCTCTCTCCTTAGATTCTCCAAGGCTTCACTCAGAATGACTTTGGGGCTATTACTGAGAAAACAAAGCAAAGCCACACCTGAACCCAGGGAGGGGGGTGGGTGGAGCTGTACAAGGACAGATGTGTCCATGGAGTTGCTGGGTAATGGCTGCGTTCTAAGAGGGGGTGCGGGGAGAGGGCAAGCATTTGCATTTCTAAATAAATGTCATGCAGCACGTAAGGGGCAGGCAGAAAAGGCCAAGGCCAGTAGACTCTCGGTTTGGGCGCTTTTCAGAGATTTGGTGCCGGTGTCTGCGTGCTTGAAGCTCTGTCTGTTCGCTTCTGAAGAAATCACGGAGGTGACCTGCAGAAAACCCTTCCCCACAGGGGCTCCCAGGACTCAGCAGTTCCCTGACTTGGAAGGTTGAGGTCTGGTCCTATTTGCAGGCAGGTGACCTCTGAGGGGACCGTAACCTGCACCAGGATTCAGGGTGCTTCTCAGGCCACCTGGAGGTGCCTTGGGCGCCCCGTGAGTGCGCGCGTGGGCCCGTGTGTGACCTGTGGGTGTGTCTGGGCCCCGGGTCTGGGGCAGGGCTACTTGTGGCTCCGCGGCGCCGCCAGGAGGAACCCGGCC